ATTTTACACACTAAATAGAGATTATTTTACAAGAAATTTAGATTTCAATGGAAAAGTTGAAAGTTTCATTTTCAATCGTCTATATTCAGATTGGTACCACTGTGCGAAGGACGATACAATGTAAAACAAATTTCAACAGAATTCTCAAATTCTGACGGTCGATCTTCTAAATATCTGGATTTGCATCAGGCCTATTTCAATAAATTAGAGAACCTCGGCAAAGAAAATTGATTATGTACTAGTGATTGTAGTTTGATTATATTGTTTTTCTCAAGTAGAGATTGACATAATAATTATTCGGCAGCACTAAATCTAAAAATCTTCTCCCAAAGTCCTTCCAACATCGAAAGCCATGTACGTCTAGCGACTGTGTTCAGCCTGTCGAGCTTCATGGAATCATGACGGTGATTTCCACGGATACGCAATAAATTGAAAGTAGTAGAGAGATCATTCAAGTTCTGAGCTCATTTGCAAAAATTCACATGACTCGTCCACAAATGAGCCCAATTTCTGATTGATCGAGCTCTCAGATCACGTGACTGGATTTCCGCCATTATACACAACGGGTCACTTTATCTAATTCCACTATACGTGAAATCACCAAATGAACAATTCTTATTCTGAAGCATTCAAAAACAGCCGCTGTTTGCATATGGTTTTCAATGTAGGGAGAATTTCGGGAAAAGATTTTCAGATTTAGTACTGCTGAATAATTATGTTAATCTTCACTTGAGAAATAATAAAATCAAACGATTAATCAACTTTGAGAAGGTTTTTAACTTTTCTTAGCAATCAACGTGATAAAATATCAAAAATACGTCTCGATTCAAATCTTCTATGAAGAAATACCGACAGATTTAATTGTAATTTCAATATAAATGATCTTGAACGGACTGCTGCCATAATAGCATGGTTTAGAGCAGCACATTTAAATTTAAGTTGCTTCAATTTATTTTGTTTATTGTTCAATATTGTTTCCAATAAATTAATTAAGTTTTCAGAAATTTCATCGTTGATATCATCAAACATTTGATTCGTAGGAGGATAATAATCATTATTAACGACCATCAATCGAATATCTTCGCGAATAATTGCTGCAGCTGCTTTTGAAATTCTAAAACGTTCATCTTTTTCATTATTCAATCTATCTTCATATCGTGCTTTGTGTGTGTAAAATATCGTATTGGGTATCTGTAAAACAAATAATGGTTGAACTCATGTTTTTTGTTGTGATATTTTTTTTCCGTACCTCTGTAAAAGCTTATTCTTAATAGTTTTTTCATCAGGGATGAAATCTTTACAAACACCTTTTAATTCCGTTAAAGTGAATTGACAGTCATCATGATTTTCAATGTAAGTAAATATGTCTTCCATTGTTAATATTATATCCTTTTTATCAGGACATCAAACTTTTCCTCCTTTATTCGGTTTGATGAAGGAAATACAGCAATTATCATGATACTTTGCTGCTACCAAGTCGTGCTCATAATCCGCCTTTTAACAGCTTTAACTGACAAGGAGAGGCTACGCTCTATTCTTTACCGATTTTGATCAAATTTACGGCAATGTTAGAGAAGTCTACCAAATGAACAACTGTAAAGCCGTTCCCGCTAATGGGGCTTAAAAGCTGAGTAATGAGCATTTAAAAATATACCAAAAAATCTGAAAACAGTCTAATATCTCGGAAAGTATTTTAGAGAAAAATGTCTTATGCCCAATTTCTTCACCTCTAGATAACTTTATCCAAGATATATCTCCCAGAGTATAATGGAGATATCTTCTGGATAAAGTTATCCGCAACTTATCTGGAAGTGAAGAAATTGGACATTAGACAAAAATGGTAGGGTTTAATAAGATGAATTTACTGGTTTTATTGATTTGACCTTGGGTGGTATCGTTAAGGTCAAATCAAGGTTGACGATACCTCCCAAGATCAAATCAATAAAATCAGTAAATACATCTTATTAAACCCTACCATTTTTGTCTAAGACATTTTTCTCAAAAATGTATACTTTCCGAGATATTAGACTGTTTTCAGATGTTTTGGTACTATATTTTTAAATGCTCATTATTAGGGCCCGGATGTTCGGACGCGATCCCGGGTCGTGCGCGGAGCACCACTGCGTGCTAGTGAGTCGAACACTCGCTGAAATGAGCGCTATTTCATTTCAGCGAGCGTTCGACTCACTAGCACGCGGTGGTGCTCCGCGCGCGACCCGGGATCGCGTCCGAACATCCGGGCCCTACTCATTACTCAGCTTCTAAGCCCCATTAGCGGAAATGGGTTTACAGGTGTTCATTTAGTAGACTCTTCTAATATTGCTGCAAGTTTGATCAAAATCAGTGAAGAGCAGAGCGTAACCTCTCCTTGTGAGTTATCCCTACGCTTATCAGCTATTTCGATTATTGAGTCCTTGAAAGTAAGTGACGAAACGTGTTTAATTTTCCGACGTTTACTTTTCTTCGTTTCTCTCTACTCACTTGCTTCCTCCCTACAAAATATACAGCATTCTTTAAAATCGAAAGTTAGTTCAGTGAACGCATTTGTCACGAGTGCGATATTGCACAAGTGACCATTGCGCCACGATACGTGTTTAGCTTACACGAACGAAACCGTATTATTTAAAATAAGATAAATAATAAAATTAATTTAAAAGACGACCCTGAAGGTAAATAAACTCGAAACAAAAGAAAACGCTAACTC